ACTGCAAACTACCAGAGGAAGGTCTTAAATTTTATAATTTTCCTCTATAATCAAGAGGTCAATTAACCAAGAAAGTGTTAAAATAGAAAGTAGACCATTCTATCCCATCCCTTGATCAATGGTTGTCTTAAACAATTGAATAGCGTCTGCCTGATTAAAATAATGCAGAATTGTGGACCCAAGAGGTTATTTCATACAGTGTTCTCATTCAACACATGAAGAAACTGGAACCTCAAGAAATTAAAAGACTGACCCACAGACACCAGTCTTTCCTGTCCCCAGACTGTCCCATGATTATCTCTGTTGTGGACATAAGGACCCTCAGCTATGCAGATGCAATTGGCTATGGTTAGACCAGAAGCCATGGCCCTTCTAAGAGGGGCCACTGGTGATCTGCCATCAGATGCAGGTGGCTCTTTAAAGCTGCTCCTTGCACCCTGACCTTCTTATGTGTTCTGATGGAAGAAACAAATCTGTATGAGTTTGGTGGCATGTGATGCAACCACATGCTCTTAGGAGGCATGCAGATGGCCTGAGCTTCCACAAACTTATGGTATTTGTGATTTCAGAAGGCTCAGACATGCTCACCAGCGTCCCATCCTTGACTTGGGCTATTCAGAGAGAAACCAAGCATGGTCACCCACTAGGGACCAAAAATGCCCACAATAGAGTTTCCTGGCTGGGCTTGAATACTTATCTTCTCCTCAAGCTGGGCCTCTCCAACCTGGAGTTTTGGGGTCCTCCATTCTAAATTTCTTTATTCACCCATCAAACTGATATTTAGTGAGATCAAATATGTAGCAAGTACCATGGAAGGTTGGAGATACAGAAATGATTAAGGCATGGCCTCTTTCTGGAAAAAGACCTTCTGTATTTTGGAGACAGGCCTGGGAACAGCTCGTTTTGGTTCCAAGAGGGAGGTGCTGTGGTGGCCACATGTGCACAGGGAAAGGTTTCTCTCTCTCTACCTGAGAGACATGTGCACTGCTGCTTAGCTGGTGGGCCAGGGCAGGGCCAGCATTCCAGGCAGTGGGAACAACACGTGCAAAGGCACAGAAGCATGCAAGAATGATATTTGTTCTCCTCCACCTTTCTGGTGGATTTTTCTGCAAGATCTGTTCTTTTCCTTACCATCTTCAGTTGGATTTGAATCCTGCTACCTTTTCCATTCCCCTGCATTCTTTTCTTGTGTCAGCCAGCTACTTTTGCACACGGCCTTCATCTCAGCCCATTCAGATTTCATAGCTTCCTGTTCCTGTTTCACACAAGCAGACAGCGGCAAGGTTTATTCTACATGCTGTTCGTTTTCTAATAGAATACTTTAGAGCCATGAATTATCAGGGAAAGTCCCCCATAAATTGCATACCTTTCTATAATTTGTAGCACCTTTCTATTGGTCCCTTACTAATCTTTTCATTCATCCCTGGACAAGGGATTGCTATCCAAGCCTGGATCCCGCCACCCCCATCACTGCACATCCTGGTGCTATAGCTGCTCCACTAAAGTACAGAGCTAAGAACCAGCCACTAGGTCAGTCTATGGACCTCGGGTAATGCTACCGGACTGAAGTTAGGTTTTCCTTGCTTCCATTACCAGGTTCTCTGAATAAGATGCAGGTTTAATTCCTTTTGAATACAGGTTAGAACAGGGAATTACCTCCCTTATCCAGAACTGTCCAGGGCTCTTGCAGACTCTCATTGGGCTCTAATGCTTCTCTCAAGGATTTGAGTCAGCCCAGACACGGCGTGCCTCCTCCAGTCCCCTCCGCGCTGTGGGGAATGTGGCTTTTGAAAGGATGCAGGTAAAGATGAACTGAAGGCAGTGGGCAGGGACTGGTATCCTGGGGAAAGATAGGATGCAGGTGGTTCAGCTGCTTTGAAGCTAGTGGAAGAGAGACGGCTTGTTTTTCTAATCCTTGTCCTGTGGCTTGAGAATAGGGACATCAGTAGGAAGGTGTGTAGCTTATTTTATCTTTTCTCTTTGGGTGTGGGCTGATTTCATTGGAGAATGTGTGCTTCAAAATTATTTCTCAATCCTTTCCTACTGGTGAGGTCATCAATAACAATTATCCCCAGAATTTAACATAGAACCTCTCTTATATTTTGTTAAAGGATTCTTATCTTCTTGTTTGTTTGTTTGTCGGTCGCATTTTTCATGAGTTTATACTGCCATTGGTTGGGGGTAGGGACTATATAAAAAATCCTTACTTTCTGAATTCTAAATTTTGCTGAATTTGATTCTTAACTTTTCTTTCTAACTAGATAGACATTATAAATTTTAAAAATTGTAGAGGGCTAGGGCTGGCCGAGTGGCGCGTTGATGAAGAGCTGGCTTGGGATGCCAGAGGGCCCCGGTTCGGATTCCACATATGAGGGCCAGTGACACTGCCCTCTACAGCTAAGATGCTGAACAACAGCTCAACCTGGAGCTGGGCTGCCGTGAGTCTCTGGCGACGGCATAGGCTGCAGCCCCTGCTGCAGTGGGTTGCCATGGGCTACCGTGTTTAGCCAGCAGCCAGCGTGAGTGGCTAGCAGCCACCATGAGCGGCCGTCCAGAAGCCGGCGACTGATTTGCCTCGCAGGGGAGGAGTGCAATGATGGTGCCAACTTGGGTCAATGAAGCAATGTCCTCCACAACTAGACTGAAGAACAAAAGGACAGCAACTTGTCTGTTCCCCTTCCCCCAATTCCCCAATAAAAATCTTAAAAAAAAAAATTGTAGAGGGCTAGACTATAGCGATCATTTTTAGGCTGTTAAAGCATATAAGATGGTGTCCCTACATTAAATAGCCCGAGTCTGTTACGCTTTTAGAAACCCTTTAGCTTCCTGACTCTCTCCGCCCTAATCTTGGGGTGGGGCAGCCTTTTCTTCTGAGTCCCCACCACCCTGTCTGCCTTGATGTGAAAGCTCTAAAGTGCTGTGGCTGAAAAGGACTATGCCTATTTCTGAACAGAGAGTCATAAAATCTCAAGTTGGAAGAAAACCTTTAAAAGGATCTAATCTAGACCCCCTGTTGCCCAGGCCCCAGCTCTCACTCTCCCTTACATGCTCAGCCCTTGTCCTGTGTTTGAAAACCTCCCGTGCTCAGAAACTCACTACCTCGTGACACAATCAGCTCTCTCTCTGGGCAGCTCTGATGGTTTTTAAGTCGTTTCTTCTCTTGAACTGAAATGTGCTCGTCCTTTGCTTCTCTCCGTGGATCTTGGTTCTGCCACCGATGGCCGCAGAGCATGAGCCTGCCATCTCTTCCACACGAGCACCTGTCACACAACCAAAAGAAGACTCCTTGCTCCGCCCTCAGCCCACATTGTCTCTTCGCTGAGATAAACCTGTTCCATCCCTTCTGTCATCCCCGTAATCCCTTGAACCTACTTAGCTGTGTCCTTGGACTCGTGGCACTCCTTAGTTCATTTGATGGGAAGCAAGAACACCAGGGACTCGTAAACGCCAAAATGTGAAAGTGCCAGGGAGAGAATGCCCGTGGACTAGCGCTGGGCGTCATCCAAGGGCAGCACGGGGCTTTCTAAAGAAGACGGGGCCGGAAGCATTCATTCCTAGCTAGAGCTGCCATCGGCAGTGAGATGAGACGGCCACTCACATTGGAAAGCTAGAGAGGATAATAAAAAGTGGATTCAAAGGTGTAGACAGGGTGAAGGGACCCACGGGGAAGGTGCAGTCCTGGGAGCTGGCTGGACTAGGTCACCATCCCTTGGCCTGGGGGGCAAGGGGAGGGAGCAGGTTACAGTAAAACACAGGGCAGAATCCACCGCTGGTAAAACTTTTCTACTATCTTCATTAGGCTAACACTGAGCAGTGATAAAAATTCCATAGCTCACATTTCCAAACCCTCACTTTTGCATGTGAATTGGCACCTACTAGGCTGCTAAGAACTCAGTGGTTTTCATTAAGCATCCAATGAGGCAGGAGCTGAATAATGAGGATGGCTGACTAGGCACATGAAGAGCAGTGGCTTCTGAGACTTATTTTAAAGGGGCCTGTGAGCAAACGCCAAGTCCTTTTGCACGCAGGATCTCACCGCCCTCCCCTGGGCCCCGGTGCGGTGATTACATGTCCCTGTTTGGCTCAGGTCTGAAGCACACCCTGGCAGGGAGGCAGCTGGCACCAGCCCAGGCAAGAGTTTGTGCCTACCCCTCCGGGCCCCACCTCTAGCAGGTCACTCGGGCTGTGTTGTCACCTTGAAACATTTAAGAGAGCTGTGAGTTTCAGAAGGTGAGACGTGCAGGGCTGGGGGCAGGGCAGGCCAGCCCTGGAGGGTGGCTGGAGAGCTTTTGACAGGCCAGACCAGAGCCCAGGGTCCTATTCCTGACACTGTGAGCCCCCAGGCAGGCGCCGAGTGGATAAGAGCGTAGACAGTGAGGCCGGCCGTGATGCTTGCCAGCACCTGCAGATAGCAGGCAAATAATTGGCACATGTTTAAAAAAAAATTAAAAAGCTATTGGATGTGAGTATTTTCTAACAGTGTCTGGCGGGAGTGCCCGGGAGGAATTTAATCAGCAGGAGTTGTTTAAATGGGGCTTCGCACACAGGCCCTGGTCAGGCTGGTAATGAACTCCGTATCATGTGCCACTCCTGTCTGCTGAGGACATTCAATTTGTTAATTCTGCAGCTGGTGAGAGAGGTCAGATAGGAAAGTGACGATTGTTTTCTGACGTTCCAACCCCTGCTCACATCTTTCTAATTAATCCTTTTAGGAGCCACGGGTAGATTAAGGAGGAGAAAAGGTGAGGGAAGCAAGTGCGAGAGAAATTGATGGAAAGACAGCGCTGCCCTTGTCTTCTCAGATGGGCTGGGACGTGGGGGGCTGGGAGCGGGGCGAGAAAAGGCCGAGCTTGGCCTGCTGCCTGTTACCCTTCTCAAAGGGAAATCAGGTGCTGCGAAAAGTTTAGAAGCCACAAGGGCCGGCAGACATTCTCCTCTGGTGACGGTTTTAAACAAGAATCACAGAAGGAACCTTGGTCTCCATCACTCGGCCTTGGACTGACCCCGCCATCAGGAGCTGCGGAGGTGTGGGGCGGAGGGGACAGCCCTGCAGGGTGTGAGTCTGGCCTGTAGTTAAAGGCCCAAGGTCATCTGTAAGCATGTCCCCTGGATGCCAGGGGGCCTGATTCGGTGTCCCCAAATTTCCCATTGTTCTGTGTGAGATGCTGCTGGTGGGCCTGTGTCTCCTGTTTGCTTCTCCAGCTCCATTTTCCTTCCTGCTCCATCCTGCTCTCTGCCACAGAGGCGGACACACCTGTGGGCCCCATCTGTGGGCTCCCTCGCGTGGAGGAAGGGGCTGCAGGAGGTTGCCTGAGGCTGGCTGGGTCCAAGAGAGGGAGGCCTGTGCCTCCCAAAAAGCCCTCCTTCCAGCTTTCTGCGCCTCTCCCCCACTGCGGATGGCTGCGCTGCTCCCAGCCAAGGCTCCTGCATTTTCCCTCTGGCTCCTCTGTACCCACCCACAGCTTTGTAAGTAGTGTCTCTGTAAATAAGCATCCCTCCAGCAGTGCCTAATGGATAAGGCCAACCTCAGTTCACAGCTGACCTGTTTCTGAGAGGTTACCTAACCCCTCTCAGAAAGTTACCTAACCCTCTAAGCCTGGGTTACCACATCTGTGAAATGGGGACAATGATACCAACCCACTGCGTTGTGAAATAACCTGAATCAAACAGCCAGTGGTTGCTTTGTTAGGGCCCATTTCTTTGCTTAGACCTTTGCTTACAAAAGTCTCAAGTTTAGAAGAACCACAAAAATCAGTCAAGGGCATGAAATAAAAGAACACAAGGAACATGCAAATCATTATCAAACACAAGACAGTCACATACTTTTCCTGCCAGTGTGACTCCAGCCAGGTGGCGCTATTTGACATAGGATTCCTGGGTTCTGGTTCAGGAGGGCTGGGCTCGGAGCTGTCCATCGTGGCAGGCAGTGGGCATGGAGCATGGGCGCCCACTTCACATCCCGGTGGCGCCTCGCGTCCTGCAGTGCCCACTCATGCTCTGGCATACTCGTGCTGCACATGTTTGCCGATTGCCTTCGAGGTGCCACGTGCTGTGCTAGGTCCTGGGGAATCAGAGATGAGCAAGACACAGCACCAGATCTCAAGATGCTCAAAGCCAACTGGGGAGATGGGTCCTAAATCCCTAACATTGATCAAATGCCACCAAGCACAAAAATGGAAATGATTAATTCTGCTGTTGGTGTGTGTGTGTGTGTGTGTGTGTGTGTGTGTGTGTGTGTAGGAGGATCTGGGACGACTCCTCTGGGGCCTTGAAAGATGAGCTTTCCAAAGAATAGAGAAGAGCTCTGCAGGCAGACGGAACAGCATGTGCAAAGGCTTAGAGGCCGGAGAGCACACTGGGGATTCCGCCAATAGTCCACAGTGGCTGCAGCATGGGGTCTAAAGTGCTGAGGGCAGGGGGTTCCACTGGCACGATGCCTGGCTCAGACGCAGGAAAGCAGGACCTGAAAACCGCCCTGAGGAATGTGGCTTTGATTTAGGAGGCAAAGGAGAAGTAGCAAAAAAATCTCCATTCTAAGTGTTTACGAAGAAAACTCTGGTAGGAACTCCATGTGCATGTTTTTGTAATCAATTGCATTCTGACGGCAAGGTCCCATTCCACTGGGCTGGCAGGAGATGGACTGAGAGCCGTCACTGAGACCTCCCCTTTCCTGGCTGCCACCCAGGCTGGTGCTGTATCCCAGAGCCCTGCACTCAGACCAACCTCCAGGGGGGCCCCCAAGGCCATCCTCTTGAGGTCTGTCCAGGGACTGCCATGGAATGGGAATGGGTTCCCACATCATTTGTTCAACTCACTGACCTGAAACCACTCCCCAGGTTGGGAGTCAACATTCTCTTGTCCTTCTTTGACCCTTAAGGTCAATGTTCTCTCCCCCAGCCCCCTCCTCCTGAACACACAGCCTAATCTGCCCTAAGCGTTTACAAAATACAGGAGGACTCATAGACCTCCAGCAGTCTGGGTTTGTTACCATCCTGCAAAACTTCCCCAAGGCAAAGGAATGCTACGGGTCTGACAGCTAGCTTGAAATGTGGGGAAATGCAGACAGAGCAAACCCAAACGAGGAGGCCCAGGAAGCAGCCCGCCCTGCAATGCAGAAGGCCCTTGGTGTCATTACTATAATAAGTAGGACATTCCACATGCTCAGGCCATGTCTACTGAATAATTATCCAGATAATTGAGATGACAGTTGAAATTTTTTCACTAGAAATTTAGAACAAATTTATAATAATCACTCTGCTAGACGGTGAACTTCTTCAGGGCAGAACTATTAACTGTGATGGTCTTGAACTTAAGAAGTTGATTTTCATCTCTGAATTATATAACCTTGAACACATTATTTTAATCTCTTGAGTCCACTTTCTCTACAGTAAAATAGGGCTCACCTTCTAGCATTGTGAGGACACAGTACATAAAAGGACCTGGCAGAGAGTAGGCATTAAGTAAATGCTGACTTGGGGGGGATGGATGGATGAAGGGACATATCGACAGATAGACAGATGAACACCTCAGCCTTTTGATTTAATCTATCTGTGTAGTCCAAGTGTCAAATGCCTCAAAGCATTATTTAAACGCACATTTTCAATTGTGATACCCTGTGAGAACTTTGCACCTTGCAATAATAGCATCTAAGCATTTTGTGAGCTCTCAGTCAAGTGTAACTTCAAAACTAGGGTCTAAACTGGGGTCTCTGTCTAGGCTATGCCTATTATTGCTCATAGAAAGAAATACTGAGGGGAGAGAGAGGAGGTGGGGGTCAATTAGCTCTTTATCAGGTGTAAGGGCAGCATATCCTTCCATTCATTAGCACCCACTTATGCCTGCCAAGAGAATGCCAATCAACTGCTGTTTGCCTGGGGCACCAATAGAAGAGGTGGCCCAGGAAACAGAAGATGGGGTGTAACAGTGGAATGGGCCAAAGAAGAAAGTTTAGACCTGCTGACTTGTATATACAAGGGAATTTGAAAGCAAATACAGGTCCAGACAAGACACATAATCAGAAAATATTTGTGAAGATTTTAAGCCTCCACCTTAGATTGATTCCAAGACTCAACTAGGTCCAGCTAAGAAGTAGAGGAATCCCCCAGCACAGAGCCAGTCTGCAAAGGCTGGGACAGGTGACTCTTTTTCCAATGTCCCATTTCCAACTAAAAATAAAATACACGAAGAAACAGAAAACACAGCCCATTGAAAGGAACAAAACATATTTCCAGAATTCATCCCTTAGAAAACACAGACATTGGACTTAATAAACAAAGACTTTTTTAAAACCTGTCTTGTAGTATGCTCAAAAAGCTAAAGGAAAACTCACACACACACACACACACACACACACAAAAGGAAATAAAAAAATGATACATGAATAAAATGAGAATTTCAACAAAAAAATCAATAGTAGAAGGAATACTAGAAAATTCACAAATATATGGAAATTAAAAA